GATTAGGAGGCAGAAGAAACAAGACCAGGTAAAACATGTGAGTGGGACATATGGGTACGATTTACAGAAGACAGTACTCCTGGCAATTGGGATGCCGCATTAAGTTCGGTAGGTATCCTTGTCTGTGTAGCAGTTTAATGTGTGCCATAACCGCAAGTGGTTGCCAAGGTAACTGCGTGCAGGCATGCGGCGGACATGCACTTAAGTGCCATAAGGGTAACCAGATGAAGTCAGTAGTGTTAAATTAGATAGTATATAGTACTAGTAATAATCGATCCTAAAATGTAACCATGAATTTGTACTATATCAAAGATTAAGCTAATAAAAACCAACTGGCATTGTCGCCAAAGTTCAAAAAAAAAATATGCATGATATGCATATTTAAAATTTTTTTATATTTACAAAAGTAAAGTTCATGTATAAAATAAACATAGTGCACATTAATTTTTTTTACTAAAATACTTAACACAAATAATGTTTATACATGTATAATGTTTGTATTAATTACATTATATTTTATAGATTTTGAGTTTGATCTGCTTCTAACAATTCATAAAAACATTGTACATAATTATCTAATAGCACTTGATTATGAATTTTCTCATATAAAAAAGTAAGTGTATATTGATAGCTATGAATGTAGTGATGTTGTGACATATTGCAAAGTGTTTCTAGATAAAATGTTCGAGTTAGAAAAATAAATACCAATATTTGATGATAAGAATAAAGAATAATAAAATTGCCAGTATTATCTCTTGATGAAAAACTTCACATACTTGTTATGCATGATGAGTATATATTTTTGTTATACAATAGTATATTAATATGTTGAAAACCTAAAGGTGAACAATCTCTAAGAAAAAAAAGCAAGATTGATCTTTGCATATGTGTGAGTTTTTAACAGATATATGTAAATGTTTAAGGCTAAAGATAAATTTAATTTTATTAAATTTTTCTATAATTTAAAAGTTTTACTATATAGTTTAAATAGTTAATTCTTTTTAAAACAATATGAACTCTTCCAATTCTAAAGAAGCATATATCATAATAATACTTAGTACAAATAGCAATAGATGATGAACAGCCAAAGATCTAGTAGTGTAAATGCATAATAAGGCAATTCTTATTTTTGAAAAATGATTTTTTAAAGCAGTTGTAGTTTTTGCTTTTAATAATGCAACTAGCCATGCAGTCTTTGCATCAGATGCCCTTGTAGCTAAAAAAATGAACCTAAAATCAAAAGGCAAATAACCAAAAATAAGGTAATTTAAATATCTTGAAGCACTACTAAGAAAAAATAGACTTGAGTTTTATATTTATAATTTATTGAACTTATGCCTGAATAAATTTAGACATTAAGTCAATAAATTATAAACATCAAAGCTCAAATCCATTTTTTTTTTGTGAATACTTTTATTATTAACAATTTTTTTTAATATAAACTTGTTTTAGATCTACAGTTTTTGAAAATAAAACCTTGCAAAATATAGATTTTCCTTTAGATTATAAGGATGCTTTACTTTAAGAGCAACTAAAAGATTTATATATTGTGCTAAATAAACATGATTGTAACAAGAAAGTCTTCTTAAAAAGTGTAAGAATGGATGTAAATTAGAGGCTAAAAGTTGTACAATTACAATTATGTTTAATAAACCTAATTTTTTAAAACAAAAGAGTCAATTAAAGAAAATTATTATTGCTAGAGGGCATAAAGTAATTTTTTATTTAAAATTTTATTATAAACTCAACTATATAAAAAATTTTTAAGGTGCAGCTAAATATTATACACAATAAATTGTAATTACATATGAAAAGAATTGCAAAACACTGTTTTAAAAAAGATAAATTTAGTATCTTTGTTAACTATTTAATATTTTTCCAGAAAAGTTTTTTGTTATATGAATATATATTGTAAAGAATTAACTGAAAAGTTGCTGAATATGTGGCAAAAAAATATCATTTATATCAAAGAGTTTCAAATATTGTATTTGATGAAATTGCTATTTTTTATAATATTTAATTTATAATAAACAAATAAATAAATTAATGTTATTAAAAATTTTTAATAATATTATTGTAAACAGGCCTACTAAATAATTAATTGTAAGAGCAATTAATTGCAAGAATCAGCCAAAAGTACTTTTAGAAGTTTGAATAATTATCTATAAAATTGACACAGCATATATTTTATCAAAATCACTTCTGAAGTTTAGGTAATGACTACATAGTACATATTATTGTTATTTAAGAGTACTACAAAGGTTAATGTTTAATAAAATATATGCTATAGTAATTCATAAATCATTACCTGAACTTTCAAGAAATGCTCCTAGCTAATTTTTAATTGCAATTTTTTGAACTCAATTAATTGATTGATAATGCAGTCACAATGAGTTAATTAATTGCAATTTTTATATAATTAGCTTATGTTTATATATTCATTATCAGATTGTAAAAATTGCATGTAGTTTTTAATTTTTGCTATTTAAATATTAGATCATATCAGAAATTATATATAGATCTATTGAATTTAATTGCAATTAATTGCAATTATTTCATTACTAATTGGGTTTTAATTAATTTTATAATAATTTTAATTAATTTTAATTATATGACATATAACAAAAATTAATTGCAATTAATTTTTTGATAGATCTAATTGTAAATATATATGGGATCTTTGCTAGGAAATTTTTTTTCTAAAAATAGATTTATTATGATTTTCCTAATTAAAATTTTGTGTAACAATAACTTGAAGAGTGATTTTCCTAGCAAAGATCCCATATAGTATGTTTTATTTACTTTTTTTTTTTTTTTTTTTTTTAACCTTAAGCAGTTATGCTAGTATTTTATTAAGATTCTTGAAACTATACATACATACAATTACATAGAATTTCCCAATACCCAAGTCTAGCATTACTCAGCCACCCTTATGATACCTAAGTGCAACCTGCTACACTATCTCAGTTAGAGATAGACTGCTTGTCTAACTACTTAAAGTTGTACCAGAAGGGCTTTTTTCCTTCTGTAACAAGCATATTAATTGTCTTCCAAGCTTTCTTTTTTATTCAGTTCATTTTCTCTATTTTTCTTTCTTTTTCTTCTTCTTTCGCTTGATTATTCTTCTTTTTTTCTTTATCTGTTCTCTCTCTTGCACGAGCTCCTTTCTTTATCTTGTTTGTTATATTAGACTTCTTTTCCCAGTCTTGTGTCTTTTTACATCAGACCCTCTATACTTGATCATAGAAGGTGTTCCATACTGTTCTTGCTACTATATTTATGCACTTCTGCATTGCCTGGTTGTTTAGGAGTTGTTTGAGTTTTTTTTCTATATTTGTCTTTGTCAGTCCCTTTATCAGTGCTTCTCTGTTTGCGATTTCTTCTGCTTCTGATTTCCTGAATAACACTTCATATAAAACTTGTGGTAGGATTCTGTTCTTTTCTTCATCTTTGAGTGCATTTCATGCAGTTGCTGTTGTGACTTTTTGAATCTGCTTCCACAAACTTCTTTGTTCACTACAGCTTGCTAAGTGTGCTTGTGTTTCTATCTCCCCAACTTGGCATACCTGACACTCTGCAGTTGTATAAATCTTTGGTCTTCTTCTGTTTAGCTCTTTGAGTGTTGGCAGTCTGTTCATTATGCACTTAATCGCTGTAGCTTTTCTTGTACTGAGTTTCCTTGATATACAGTAAACTCTTTTTGTTCTGTTCATCTCTTTTCAGAAGCTTGTCCAGTTATGTAATGTGTTGTCTGTTTCTGGCTCTAGCACTTTTATTAGGTTCGTTTCTCTCCAAGTGGCTTCGATTCTAACATTCGCTATTGTTTTATACAGAAGTCTAACTGGAATGTCAATTTTCTTGTTTTCCTATTCCAAATGATACTCTATTTCATCACATCTGACATTTTCTGCATAAATTATTTCTTTGCAAGTTGCTTCTTTTTTTGCGAAAGAGTCTGCTCTGTCATTCCACTTGTCTTCACTGTGACTTTTAACTTTGACTATTTCTATCTTTATCTTCTTGCTTTTAATAAGACCTACAATGTTCATTATCCACATTGCATTTTTCCTCTTTAAGATGCTTCCATCCTCTGTATGTTGTAATGCTCTATTAATATTTCTTAGTGCTGCGATGCTGTCTGTATATATTTCTAGACTCTTCCTTTCTGGGATCATTAAAATTGCTGTCTATACTGCTGCTAACTCTGCTATTGTTGCTGAAGGCCATCTTTTAAGTTTAAATTATGCTTTTTCTTCTGGCCAGTTTTCTTTATCTCCTACTTGCACCCAGCCAATACCCATCCTTTCTAAGTTGTTTTCTTTTCTCTTTCTTTATAATGCTCCATCAGTATATATAATGTATTTTTCTTTATTTCTTTTTTTGTTTCATATCAGCATTTCTGTTAATTGGCTTGTGATTGAGCTGTTTAGCTCTTGTTTCTTAATCAGCTCTGCTTCTAATTCGTTTACTGGTCTTAATTCTAATAACTTTGTTTCATCTTTTTTTTATTCTTCTGTTCTTCTATTTTCTAATAGCTGTTCTGGTGTTGCATTTATCTTGTTTTTTGTTTTCTCAATTAGTAGCTCAGGGACCACTTTCATGTTCTGGTCTTGCCTTATCCATTTTTCACACTTGTCTTTTATCTGTTCTGATCTATTTTTATGGCCTTTACATACAGTTATTTCTGTATATGTTTTTCCTTCTTCATTATGCATTAGCCAATGTTTTGCTAACACTTTTTTCTTTTTCTTTTTAATTATTTTGCTGAATCGCTGATCATGTTTTGGTCCATATATGATCTATTCCTTTTTCCTTCAGTCTTTTGAAATCTTTGTCCACTTAATTTTTAAAGCCTGTGTGTTGTAGCTGTTTATTTTGTATTGGTCTTGTACTTCTCTGCTTGTTTGTATTTTAAGCATTTTCTTTTCTATTTTGCTAAACCATTTGGCTTTCTTTCCCTTGCATGATAGGCCTTGAAGACTCTTGAGCTGTCTCTATGTAATTAAGTTGTTATTTTTCATATCTATTAGCTGATTTATATATAATAATCCCTGCTCATTTATTGTGCTACTACTTGTTGCCCATGTCTTTGCTTTTAGCATATCTTTTATTTGTTTGCCATGTCCATAAACTTTCTATAGCTATTTTGTTGCCTTAATGTTTATTCCTATCTCTTTTGCTTTAGCTATTGTTTGGCATGCTAAGTTGTTTTTCCAAAACTTTTTAGTCTCTGATTTGCTTTCATTATGCCAAATTTCTTTTGTTAGGCCTGCTTTTTGGCATCCTTGAGCTATTCTGAGTCTTGTTAATTTCTCTAGGCTGTCTTGTCTGTTAAGTCTTAAGAAGATACTACTGATTTGCTTTGTTGTTATTTCTTGGCTTAGTGATTTGCAGTTTCCTAGATCTTTATGCTTAATCATACAATTGCTTGTTGTTTTTATCATGTTGCATTTGTGCTTAGCCAAGCATATCAATGGTTGGTGTATTTTATCAATTGTCTTTTCTGACATCTTTGTTAGTTGTAAGAGGTATTCTAACTTGGGGATTATTACTGCATTGTTTATATATACAATCTGGCTTATTGTCATTTTTTTGTATCTCAAATCCTGGACTGTTTGGTTCACTATTTCTTTTGCTTTTTTACATACTAATGATTCTCTCATTTTACTGTTTAGCCAGATTCCCAGTAATCTTATGATTTTATTTTTGGGCTCTTCTGTTATTTTGCTATGACTGAAGGTAATTTCTCTTTCTGCCTCTTTTATTCTTGTATTCATTACTATAAGTTTTGATTTGGATCCATTTATCTTAATGTCATTTGCCTTAAAGAACTCTTTTGCAATACTCAGAATTCTTATTATTTGTTCTTTACTGTTTGCAATCCATATTGTATCATCTGCATATGTGATTGCTGCTTGTCTATATCTTGTGATACTGTTACTGTGTGCTCTTTCTGCAACTTCTTGTTCTACTATGTATCCTAGCATTTTATTATTTTGTATTCTTTCTAATAATGGGTCATAAAAGAGATGCCAGACTAATGATGAAATCACCTCTCCTTGGTCTATTCCATCTCTTGCTACTATCTCTTCTGTTAGACCATATGCTGTAATAACTTTGAGTTTCTGTTTATAGAAGATATTGTTTATATATTCTTTTGTTTTTTGTGGAATTTTAACTCTTTTCAGAGCCCATTCTAGGCTTTCTAATGGAACT